CTTAGCTAGGATAACGTTTTGAATAACGTGTACCACTAAGCGCAAATGTTGTAGCATAGTAATGAAAAGGTCAAGGCTGACAAGGTTGTTATGACTCTAAGAATTTGACACATCGCTTGTAAGAGCATTGTGTTGAATTAGACTCTTTAGCCTAATTCGCGCTTAAGTTACTTCAGGAGCTGTCATAGTTGATAGCTTATTCTCTCCTTCTTGTGGATAGTAGAATTAATTGCAAGTAACTATGAAGCGAGAAATAGATATGGTAGGAGGAGTATCATCATCTTTCGACTAGATGCATTAAAGTGTATGGAGAATAAAATTGACGTGAATGTGCATGAGATTAGCACTTACTAGTTAAATTTGCGACTTGGGCGTACTTAATATCTCCATGACATCCTTTTATGATCTAGTGAATATGAATTAGTCGCGAGTTATTACCTAGTTGAGCCTAAACCTTTAAAACTTGTCTTCAAAAACTCACACATTAGGATGATTGGAATTAGTTTATGACATTGGTCATGAACCGGTGGCTTATTATACTTAATCACATTAATGAGAACATGTATGGATGTTTGGAGTAGGCCCTCTTGGGCCCACTCACTTGTGACATCTTGCTCTCATATGAATGTGTAACTTTGTTCGCAATGGTTGCGCACAAGTAAATAGAAAAGCCGTAGAAGGTCATTTGTATTAGCGCATTTAGTCCACTATGATATTTGTGACTATATATGTGTAAGGATATGATATCTAAGCCTCAATCTCGACACATTTATAGATTACGATACGCATCTGAGTCAAGACTATTTGATCTCCTATAAGTCAAAAGTTTTCAGATGATTTTTGACATTGCACATATGACGTTGAGATCAATTAGATAACAGCTTTCGTGTTTTTAGTTTTGACCAAGGTAGCGAGTATCTATTTGAGTTATTTTAGAAAACTCTGTGAAGAGAAATGGATGCTTAGAAAATTGATTAATCCTAATACTCAACAACACAATGGTGTAGTAAAGATAAGGAATTAAGTATTGTTAATGTTAGGTGGATGATGGCGCAAAATGTTTCCCAATTGGGAATTGCACTTTAGTTTGTTGCCTATATCCCTAACTAAATGTCCTTCATATCAATTTTTACACTCCACTTTGAGTAATGGGTTAGCGGAGAGCCATTTATGGGCGATCTGTAACCGTTAAGCAGCTTATATTTATTTTACTTCTCATAAGGTTGCAAAGTTAAGACCTAGGGTTCTATAGCGCATTATTGTATGCTGTCTTGTAAACACATAGGGTTATGTGGCGCATTATTATTTGCTGTCATGTAAACGCTCCGGGTCATGTGCATATAGGTAAGAAGCTTTGTGGTAGTGTAACTAAGTCACATAAAGTTTTCTTAGTACAGGTGACGTGAATAGAGTTTTTGGAACTCTATAAGATAGAGAATTCTAAGCATAACGCTTTTATGTAGCCTAGTTGAGAATGGAAAGAAATTTCCAATATCCTAGGGACAGTGGGAGCGATGTGTCTACTAATAGATTAATTCGTTAGAGAAGAATACTCTACATTCTTAGTTGCGTGGTAACAAATGTGAAAATTTTCCACGTCATCACTGGGTGATTGAAAAGGAAACATTCATGATTGCTCCGCAAGATAATAAAGAGCATAGGATAATTGCCAAATGCTCTAGTCCCCTGTTTTTAGAAAGTGGATTAATGTTGCGCAGTTTAAGACAAAGTCCTTGAGGATTAACCATTTCTATAATTTGGTTGACTTTCCCTTATGACGCGAAACTGTTCTAAAGTTATGCATAATTTGGATAGTCATTGTTGAGGCATAAGGCTCGCTAGATACCGAAAAGTCGCACCATTGAGGAAAGTGTAGACCATGAGAAGACTTCCTCCTGGGGAGTGAGGTTATTTTGACTTAGGCTATGATTGACATAAGTTCGGAACATTGATTTGTGGACATTGTGACCCAACTTCTCGTTGGAGAATTGGATAAGTAGATCCGTAGGGATTTACCTTCTGTTTTTTTTATGGTGAAAAGTTAGGAGCGCAAAAAGGTTGCTAGTTCCAATAAATTTTTTACAGCCTAAAACAGTTATCCAAATAGTGGTTCTTATATTTCGTCAAGCCATGATAGGCCAACGATGATCGATGAAGACCACTGAGGCATGATCAATGGTCCAAAAGAAGTTTTTCCTTAGTAATTATGAGCCAGGAATTTATAGGGTTGTCGCCACCTAGGGTGGGCAGTACTCTGTTTTAGATATGATGGACATGGGTGATGTAATTTATATGCTCGAATGTACGATCCTTAGGGATTATTTTGGGAGAATTCCTATTTTGTCTTCGATGACTTACATAAGGAATATCTTAGAATGATTTTGAAATAAGTTTTGATTGAACAAAGCAGTAATTTGTTTGAACTTGAGTCAAACTTTTATTGACTTTTAAACCATATTTAAGCTTCAATTATTTATATAATAAACTGATTTCAAATAATTTTTTAATGAATTAAACACAAATAACTCAAGTAACTTGGTTCAACTTAGGACTCTATTTACTTGAGGAAGTATATCCAAGAGAAACACTAACACTTAAATGGTTCAATCCATATAGTGTTGAGAGAATTAAATCAACAATGAATAATAGAAGGATAAGTTACACTTAGAATACTTGCATTTTTATAAAAATCTCACTTTGATTCATTCATTTTCAATTGTAATAGTTAATCCCCCTATACTTTAAATTAAGTTTCAGTCTCATCCTTCTGACTATCTACCGTTAATAAAACTAATAAAAATTAAAAGTGGATGGACTACAGTGAGATTTAGGTGAAAGTGTGAAAACTAAAGTGAAATTTTAGTAAAAATGTAAAAAATAAAATAAAATAAGACAACAAAAATGTCACATATGTTTTAAATGACAAATTTTGTCAACTTTGTTAACGGTAGATGTATAGAAGGTTGAGATTATAACTTGACTTAAAATGTAGGGGTTAACTATTAAAATTGAAAGTAAATGGACTAAAGTAAAATTTTGATAGAAGTAAGCGTAATTTACTCATATACAATAACAAGATCAAAAACATCGATACTATAGACTTTTTGATGTGAAATGTAGACAAACCTTAATTATAAAATATGATAACAAGACTTCTTACAAGAAATAAAATTGAGATTTATGACGTTTTGTTCAAAACAAGAAGTTTTTAAGGAAAACTCGAATCTGAATAGCAAAAGAATGGCAGTTGGTTACTGGCCTCTTACACGGAGATGCGGCGGTGGAGGGATTGGAAGTAGCCATAGATTCAACTCCTCAAAAGCCAAACTTCCAATGCTTGAAACCCTAGAGCTAGGGTAGAGCTATATCAAGCTTTGTTTTGGAAAATATTTATGTTCAAAAAAATTACCTAGTTACTAGGGGTGAGCATGGTCCGGATTGGGGTAAAACCAGGACCAATCCGTTATTTACGGTTCTTGAAAAATTGGAACCAATTCAATCCGTTTAAATCGTGGAACCAATCTGAATCAATCCATTTAAACACGGATTAGATCGGTTTAAGACCACGGATTTACATAATTAATTAACAAAAATATATATATAACACTTTAATTTCATAAAAATATAATTATAGCACCATATTAGCTTCACAATAACAACATGCTTTTTCATAATAGCGACATACTATTTTAGAATTTAAACAACCATAAGAAAACTGGTTCCACCATAAGTATTTAGACCATTACAAATTAATATTAAAAACTAGCAAACAAAAATAATAAAAGAAGATACTATGTGAGTTTAGGTTTGGATTGAAATTTTATATAAAATAAGAGAAGATACTATGCAGGAGGGTATACAATAAAATTATAGATTATTTGTATACAGTCCAGATCGGTTCCAATCCGGAACCGTGGGGTTCAATCTGGAACCAATCCGTGTACTGCGGATTTTTAATTTTTCAATCTAGAACCGAACCACGGATTCAAAAAATCAATCCAAACCTACTGGATTGGACTGGACTGGATCGAATTACGGATTTCACGGATTTCTTGCTCAGCCCTACTAGTTACTTCCATTTGAGTGGATTTTATAAACCTAGAAAATGTGATAGTCAAAGAGTTAAAAGTTGTCTCTTAAATACTCAACACATGAATCCAAGAGATTCACTATGTGGTATGAAAAATGTTATAAATTCTAAATAATTTATCAAAATTTCTATTAAAATTCTCATATGAGTGTGGGATCCACACAAACTCACATGTGTGTGGGTCTCACATTATGTGAGAGCTTTGATAAAAATTTTGGTAGATTATTTGAGATTTCTAGCATAACTCTACAAAAGTATACTTTTTTTTATTATTTTTGTTGTCATATCACTTTTTTACACATCTTTTCCTAAAAAGTCAAAAAAATATATTTTTAGATTAAAATAATACTATATGCATCAATTGGTATATAAATTAGTGTACTAACAGATGATGTGACATAATTTTAGAGATTTTGAGTATTCGTAATTTGTATAATGACTAGGATCAATAATAATATCATAATATATATTAGTACACTAATTGATATACTAATTAGTGTATGTAATACTACTGCTTAAATTATCCTAAACAAATGATCTTAAACTTATTCAAAGTCCCATGATAAATTTTCTTTTAAAACATGTGTTAACTAACTTCTGGAAATTCATGTAATCCTCTAGTCTTTTGGGGTTGCATCATTAATTCTTCATATTCCCTCACAATTGCAAAATTCCCAGCAACATTGCCAAGTGGAAGCCTTATAGATTACTAGATTACATCACTTTTGCTCAAGAAAAATTAGTTAGGAATACTGTACCGTGCAACTTAAATGAGCTAATTATAATTTATTTTAATTTTAGAGTTTTGTGTCAAATTATTTAGTACAACTTCTACTTACAACTAGGATTGTGGGTGGTACAGTGTGGATAGTTTGAGAGTAAAATTATAAATCAAACTGTGAATAGCGGATTGACAAATAATCAAATCGTAATTTGGGCAATTTGGAGTGGTTTTAATTTATTCATTTTTGGTTACAACGGAAATAAAACAAGGGACTAAGCCCTTTCCAAAGAACGTCCTAACATATCATCAACAAGCAAGCTTCTAATCTCAGCTGGGCGTTCTTTCACCATCAGCATGTCCTCTGGTTGAGCTGCTTTTGGCAAGAGCATAAGCACACAGATTACCTTCTTTCCAAACATGTTGGACAGTGCAATTGCATCCTTTGAGTAAGATTTTTGTATCCTCCACTAGATGCTTGAAAGGGCATTTATCTCCTATCTCTTCCTCTAGCAGGTGCACCACTTGAGCTGCATCCATCTCTATAATCACATCATTTAAACCTTGCTGTAGCACAACTGTTAACCCCTTGTAGACTGCCCATAATTCTGCCTCCAATCTAGTTCCTGGCTATAGTCTTCCATAATATCCACAAACCCATGCTCCTCTTTCATTTCTGATCAGGCCTCCAAAGCCTCCATTTCCTCCTGATTTCCTACTGCCATCAATGTTGAGCTTCAGTTGTCCTGCAGGTGGCAATAACCAGGAAATAAGTTGATAAGTTGGTCTAGGAACTGGTATAGAGTTAAAGAAAGCTAGATGGATCTCCCCAGAATAATCTAAAATGTACTTGACACTCTCTTGGTAACCAGTAGGTTTTCCTTCAAACACAAACAAGTTCCTGTTTTTCTAGATTTTCCACAAGGTTACAGTAAAAACTAGATACCAAGAGAGGTCAGCATTAAAATGATTTTTGTTTTTAGCATTACTCATGAACCATTTTATCCAGCTTTTCCTTCGCATATCAAGGTACCAATGTTTGTGAAAAAGAGCAAGCCAAATTTCTTTGGCCTTATAACAGTCTCTAAATAGATGCTGGCTGTCCTCAGTCATATTACAGCTGGGGCAGTAAGCATCTTGAGTTAAGCCTCTGTGCAGTCTCATTTGATTAGTAAGCAATTTGCCATGCCTCACAGTCCACAAGAAACCTTTAAGTTTCTGTGGTAATCTGAGTTTCCACAACCAATTCCAATCCTCATCATTATCATTCCTGTGCAAAATAAGCTCATGGGCAGAGGAGATAGAAAAAATCCTATTTGGAGCCCCCTTCCACATAGGTAAATCCCTGTGGAGATTACTAGGAGAAACAGAGTTCAGATTGTATTAGCCAAGTGGGGTGAGAAATTGTTATTCACAGTAGCCTCATCCCAATTACCATCCTCCCCTATCAGCTCTCTCACAGTACTACAAACTATGACATTGCTCTAAGAGGGAGGATTAGTATGTGGGACAGTCATCTCAAAGGAACATTCTCCACAACACCAATCTTTCCAGATATTGACAATGTTCCCATCACCCCATTTTCCATTTCACAACTCTTCTCAAAAAATTTCTGGTGGTCAAAATGCCTCTCCAAACATGGGATGCATTTCATCTTTTTTTCTAGTCATGGAAGGAAGTTTTAGATAAGTATTTCTTACGAGGAAGATCACACCATAGACCTTCTTTGTCACTGATGAGATTCCATCCCAGTTTAGAGAGCAAAACAAGGTTTTGATCCCTTGCTTTTTTGATCCCTAAACCCCCTTGCCTTTTCATATTGCATACCACATCCCAATTTACAATATGTGTTTTGTGTTTCTTCATTGTATCACCCCAGAGAAAGTTCCTGTTCAGCTTGTCAATATCATTACAAACAAATTTAGGAAAGAGCATAGTTTGCATAGTGTAACTAGGAACAGCAGACGTCACAGATTTGATGAGGGTAGCTCTACTAGTCATGGATAGGATAGTAGCTTTCCATCTAGATAATCTTTTTTGCATTTTACTTACAATGTCATTGAACAGCCCTCTATTTAGCCTACCATGTACCAGTGGCACACCCAAGTATTTCTCTAAATCATGAGTAATAGGAATCCCACATAGAGTACTTAGTTCTCTAGCTCTCCTTCCATCAACATTAGGAGAGATAAAGAGCTTAGACTTATGTGAGTTAATTTTCAAGCTAGAGATATAGCAGAACTCATCTATAACCTATCTGATTGTCTCATAAGTTTTTATATTAGCCTGCCCAAATAGCATAGATCATCAGCAAAGAGGAGATGGGTCAGGACTGGCCCTCCTCTAGTAATTTCCACACCTTTCCAACTTTTCTCCTTAGCTTTAAGGCTGATCATTTTGGATAGTCTTTTAAGGCAAAGAACAAACAGATAGGGAGAAATGGGGTCTCCTTGCCTCAATCCTCTAAGAGGTTTAAACTCCTTCAGAGGTTCTCCTTCCCAAAGGATAACAGTGCTAGCACAAGTAACACAACACATAATGAGCTCAATGAGGTTAGAGTCCAAGTTAAATTCCTCTAGGGTTTGTTTAAGAAAATCCCAAGGAATTTTGTCATAAGCTTTCTCCAAGTTAATTTTTAAAATCATACCACCTTTCTGACCTTTCTTAAGATTCAAAGTATGTAAAATTTCTTGAGACATGATAATGTTGTCACAGGTATTTCTACCTGGGAAAAAACTGCTTTGATTAGGTCTCACAATCTTATTCAGAAAAGGTTTGAGCCTACTAACAAGAATTTTAAAGACGACTTTGTAAGAAACATTACATAAACTAATAGGTCTGAACTGCTTTATATTCTCAGGATTGTCAATCATAGGGATCAAGGCAACTAAGGTTTTGTTGACATCACTAGGAATGTGATTAGTTTGAAAACAGTTTTTGACATAATCACAGACATAATTACCAATAACAGACCAAAATTTATGATAGAAAACAACTTGGAACCCATCACATCCAGGGGCTTTAAAAGCACCAATGTGCTTCACAGCCCTCCACACCTATCATTAGTGATAGCTTTAGTAAGCTCAGTATTATCCTCAAGAGTCAGCTTGCAAGCCACTAGTTTGTTCCACTGCTTCAGAAAGCAGTTGGGGGACTAGTTAAAAAGATTAGTAAAGTAATTAAGAATCAAATATTTAAGTTGAGCAGGTTAATCCACTCACTCACCACTATCATTTTTAAGCATATCAATCTTCCTTCTCTTACGTTGGGCCAGGGTAGCAAGGTGAAAAAATCTAGTGTTTCTCTCACCTTGAGTAATCCAATTGGCTCTAGATTTTTGGAACCAAAGAAGCTCCTCTTGATAAAGAAGTTTGTTATATTGATCCACAAGATCAATTTCAAGGTTGTGGAGATTATGTGAATAGATTTGGGCTTGGGATTTTTGAATCCCTTCAATCCTCCCCAACAACCATCTCTTCCTTCTGAAGATATTACCAAAGACCTCTTTATTCCAAACACTAGCATCTTGGGCTAGAGTTTCAAATTTTTGACTCAGAGAGGAGGCTGGTTTATCCCAGCTATTACTCACCACAGACTTAAAGTCCTCATGAGTAATCCAGGCTGCCAAAAATTTAAATGGTTTACAAGAAGGATTGAAAGGAGACTTACCTTGAGTGAATACCATCATGGGAGAATGGTTTGAGTACGTATGAGGAAGGTTCCGAACAGATCCATCTGGAAAGGTAGTTCTCTATTCAGTATTACACATTGCTCTAGCCAGTCTAACCATTGTGTTGGCCCATCCTTTTCGATTATTACTCCAAGTCAGCCGTGGACTAGTACAACCTAAGTCCATGAGATTGCAATTGTTAAGTTTGTCATTGAATTTCCCATTTCTTCTCTGATCTTGGCTTATACTTTGACTGTTGGATGGGTATAGGCTTCTTTTTTTTCACTAGTAGAGGTGAAATCATTAAAATCACCAGCTACTAGCCAAGGTTACTTCATAGATTGAGCAATGGCCTCAAGGTGATCCCCAAAGCTCATCTCTCTTCCTGGCATTAGGGCTTGCATAGACAGCTGAAAGTAACCAGTCTTGATAGTCTTGTCTAGAAATGGTAGCTGTGATTTGTTGTAAACTAGCCTCAACAACTCGCACATTTACCACAATGGGATTCCAGATCATCCAAATGCTTCAATTTCGGCCAACTGGGTCAACATGAGTTGAAGCAGTAAACCCCATACAGTTGAAGAACATCCCATAGTTGTAAACTCTACTTTGGTTTCCATAAGCATAATAATTTCAGGTTTATAGATTTAGACTAACTCTCTCAAAGTTCGTTTGAATTTCTTGTTACCTGGCCCCCTACAATTCCAAATAAGCAGATCCATAGATGGTATATAATGGGAGGGTAGCGGGTTTTGATCATGTAGCTTCAGATAGCCCCTGATGGCTTGGATGTTTGTGTCCACCGACTTGAGTGGAGTCATTGATAGGTAGTGACACTCCTAGCTTGCATCCACTTGTCTTCGTGGGTGGATTCTCAACTTTGTTCCTTCGTTTCACTATTTGGAGGTGATGAGGTGAAATACTTCTTTACCTGGTGTTAAGCACACTAGTACTCTGTCTTGGATCATCTTGTGCATCTCCATGGGGTAGTTCTCTCCTTCCTCTTCTATGTTTATCTGGGGGTTTTCTTACTCTGGGTTCAGTGGTGTGCACTACAGCTTGGTTGATATGGGATGGAGGTAATGGGCTTGTGATCTGATTGGGAGCTTGGTTACCCTCTTCTACTTGCAGAGGGAGGACTGGTGTTTGCTTTGAAAAGTTTTGAGGGATTGAAGTCTCACCTATCCCCAGTGCTGCCTCTTGATTTGTAATCTCCATGTTAGTATCCTTTTTCTTCCCCAGTCTAATCTCTTCTAACTTTTTAGCTTTAGTCATAGCAGAGTGGTTGGACTCATTCTTCCTCTCATATGGTCGTGATCTGTATTTGAATCCCCCTTCCATTTGGGCTTTCACTTTTCGGCCCATGTTATTCCCTGTTTAGGCTTTGTTGTTTTTGGGATATTCTCTCCCATCCTATAATGCTTCAAACCTATTCCTTTGTTGAGTGTTATTTCTTCTTGGGTTTGGGCACTTGTGGTTTCTAATAGACTTGGGGACTGTCATCCACGGCCCAAATTTGGATGGGCTAGGATCAATGTTTGGTGATGCCTGTAGATGTTCTTCATGCCCAGTAGTAGCTGGTCCCTGTGATGTTGTCTCCGGCATGATCCCATCACTGTAACTGTTCCTCCGGTGACCTACCCTGCCACAAGAAAAGCAAAATAAATGCAAATAGTCATATTCAACATGATATATGTATTTACCTATCGCGATTTGGGAGATTAATGGCTTTCGGGGGTCCATTTCAACGCAGACCCAAGCATATCGACCTCTAGCGGCCATGGCTGTGTTGATGTCAATCTTTAGTGGAGTTCCCAACACCTTCGCAATGTGAAATAGAACTTTCTCATTATAGTATTCTATGGGCAGATAAGGAAACCTCACCCACATTGCTGTAGTATCCTCCTCCGCTTCATCCGATTTAAAGTCTTGTTGCCATCTTCCAACAGTTACATAATGGTCTAGGGCTACCCATGGTCCGCTCGTAAATACCTTAGTATAATCTTCCATCATATCAAATTTAACGATAAAGAAACCATGTTTAATAACTAGGGCTTCAAAATTGCCCTGAAGACCCCAGATCTTCTTGACTTTGGCCATAAACAACTTATAGCCTATAGTTTTCCCCAAAAGACTTACAATCAAACATTTCCTCCATGGTTCTCTGACTTTCCTCCACAGGTTGGATGGGATTGTGACTTTGGAGATGCTATCTCGCTCCTCCACCATCGCCTCAACCTCTGTTTCAGTTATGTCCGTGATGCTTGGTTCATCCTTATTAGAGGAGAAAGACTCCACATCACAATCGAAGTTCTTTTCATTCACAGATTCGTTGAATCTTGAACGAATGAGGGCTTGTTTGAAAGATTTCGGGACTTCAAAAACCTTAGCAATCGCCTGGTTATCAGCAATGACAGGTGCCCCTATTTGAGATTCATTATCCTCTGCCATGATTTTAGGGCTTTGAGGATTAGAGTTGAGATCTCCGTTGTTGGTTTCCAGCGACACAGTTTCACCCACGACTGCATCCTTATGATCAGTAGTGCTTTTGATCTTCTTGGTGCTCTGGATCAAGTGATCCTTTTCCTCCGTTGAGCACCCATGGTCGTTTGTCCGTTCACAGTATTGCAGAGCGTCGCTAACGGTCATTTTTGACATCTCCCTTTGTTACCTTACAAAAGTTTTTTTAATTTATTAGTTGATTGAAGAATATTCCTAAATAATTATCAAGTATTTGCATAATATATAATACTAAGCCTCCGTTTGGGAAGTAAGTTGGCTTTTTGGCTTTTTGGCTATTTTAGCCTGGGCTATTTTAGCTTGGTTTGGGAAGGGCTTTTTGGCTTTTTGACTTTTTTGGCTTTTTTTGTGAGAGAGGATTGTAATGATTAGGGGTTGGATTTGATGTTTTGCTTTTTGTGGCTAAAATAGCCTATTTTGTTTTTTGTGGCTATTTTAGCCCCAAACTCACCCAAACCTTCTTGCCAAACATAGGCTTTTATATAACACTTTTCATATATATAACACAAATTAATTTTGCATAATAGTTTTCATATATAACTACTAATTTGCAACAAATTTTACATCTTAAATCTCTCTCTTCTACACTTATTTTTACTTCGATATTTCATTAGAGATTTAAAAAATATATATATGTATTAACTATAGTGAAGCGGTTTCAAAGGCGATTATAAATTTCAAAGTTTAATTTGCAGTAGCGGATGAATGAATGTGGATTGCGGAGAAGGGGTGCTGTTGTGCTTTATGGCACAACAGTTGCTGTTGTGCTCCTTGGGGGAGGTTTTTCCAAATATTTTTCGATGATCTAAATCGTTCATATTGTAGGGTTCGCCGAGTAGATCATCCATACAAAAAATAAAGTTGATTGGATATCTGTAACCTTATAACCAAGACAAATTTGTTTCTATAAAAATTAACGGTTAACATAACTTTCATAAATTTTTAAAAACAATTGGGATCTAATCATAGGGTTATAAATATCCGATTAATTTAATTTTTTACAGAAATAATATTCTTGACGAACTTTACAATATCAACAGTTCGGATTATTGAAAAATAATTGGGAAGACCTCCCAAAAGGGAGCAGTAACTGTTGTGCCTTAAGGCACAATAACACCCCCTTATCCTATGAATTGAATGATATTTTGTACAGCCATCCTTGACGCTTATTAAGGAAAAATAGGTTAAACAAACTATAATTTGAGAAAGGAATGTTTTTGGCTCCAAATTTTAATTTTCGACGTTTAATTGTAATAAATTATCAAACATTATAACTATCAAAAATGTTTGAACACTCTAAAATAAAAGTTCTAAAAAAATTCTAAAGAATGAACCCATCTATTGATGTGACATCTTGACTTGTTCCACATCATTAAAGTTCAATTAAAATTCTAAAATCAATTGATTCATCTTTCAAATACAAAAAATAATTTAGAAAAACATATAAAATCTCCATATTCTTTTCCTTTTCTGTAATTTTGTTTGAGAAATTCTAAATAAGTTATTTACAAAGCTCAAAGTTAGTAAATGCAAACTATATGAGGTGAGGGGCGCCATACAAACAATAATATGCATTTGTTTTCCCACAACAAAATGAGTAAAAAATCTTTTTTGATTTCGCTCTCCGAAAACCCAAGACAAACCGAGGCTTCTCAAGCGCTATCCTTGATTCTGCCGACATGCAGGCGACCGCAGTTAGCAGGACCTCGCTGCAACGCTTTTACTCCCACTGGGTTGTCCTTGCTCTGTTATACAAACAAAATAAATTACCAGCCCGGGAAAATAGTTCAGATATGTTTCATCTTAAAATACTCATGCTAGCTATTTTCTTTCTTTTTAAATTTTCTCTCAAAAAAGTAACAAGAAAAAAAAATTATCACCTCAAAATAAAGTTATGTCCACCTCAAAATGCTTATGCTATTTTTTTTTTCCCTTCAAAACTCTCTCTCAAAACGAATGCCAAAATAAAATTAATCAGCTTGGGAAAAAGTTGAGATATGTTAGACCTTAAAATTCTTATGCTAGCTGTTTTCTTTCTTTCAAAATTTTCACTCCTGAAAAAAAAAAAATAAATAAATAAAATAAAAAATGATGATATGGTTAAATTACCAGTAAGCAGGTCCCAGCATCAGTGTCACAGACAGGAAACTCTTGTGGGCAGCAGCTAGAGTGGTCGGCACAACAAGTAGCAGACTCGAGGGGGCAGCATCCCCAACCAAAGCAAAAGCCACCATATTCGTAGACACAGCAACAAGTGCTTCCCCCGGGGCAACTATAGTAATCGTCACAAACTGTAGGGGGTTTTACTGGGGATGGAGGGGATGGACCGGGGTTGGGAGGGTTTGGACCGGTCTTGATTGGGTATGAGGCTGCTTGTGCAATTCCACACTTGCCACTATTTGTATTGACATTGCGCTCCATCTTGATGTACCCGTTCTCACCCCAGTGGGGACCCCATGAGTTCTTCACAAGCCAATAATCTACACCGTCTTCTGAACCATATCCAACGGCTACAACACCGTGGTCGAGATTTGTCCCGCAGAGTCCAGTAAATACACCCTGAAAAGATTGAAGGAAACAGTCAATTTGCAACTAAAAAAATCATGACATAATAATTGTTTGTTTCAGCTTGTTAAATAAGTTAGCATCCCTCAGGTTCTAATATCATGCCTTAATATGAAGAGAATTACTCTGCCAAGCTTGTAAGTTGTTTTTGTTTTTTGTTGTTTTTTTTTTTTTCCCCGGGGTTATTTTTGTCCTTAATTAACTTATAAAAAAATTATGTCATTTTTTTTACTTTTATGTCCCATACTGGACATCCCTAAAACTAAAAAAAATTCAAAAAAACTTTATTAAGGAAGGGGATACGCCAAATTTTATCAAAAAATGCCTATAAAAGTTTGCCTCCTTTTCTTTTTCTTTTTTTAATTTTTAGGATTGAGGGACCTAAAAATTAACATCTTTCAACTTTAAAGTTGAAAAAAGTTCACTAAAAAACAAAAATAAGCCTAAAAATAACATAACTTGTAAGCTGCAACCAAAAGAACCCTAAGGTTTTCAGAAAAATGCATTTACCGATTCATAAAGTTGGAAAGCCCTTCCCCCAGCTTCAATGGCAACGCTAACTGGTTGATAGGACACAGCCTTCTTCAGCGACTTCTCGTCATTTTCTGGAACATCTTCGTATCCTTCAATGCTAACAACATGGGCATTTTTCTGAAATCAAAATATTAAAGCGTCTATAACATATATATGCTAATTTAACCAGTGTACAAAAACATTCTTGTTCTTTTTTTCTTTTTTTTTTTTCTGTGTTTTTTTAAGTTTGGTATAAAGACAAACCCGGTAGGGGTCGCATGTGCCATCAACAGCTCGGTAAGGGTAATCTTCCTCAGAATCAATGCCACTGTTGTTAATGATGAAGTCAAACGCATAGTCCATGAGACCTCCATTGCACCCCATATTATAAGATCTGTCACAATCCACCAGCTCCTGCTCCGACAAAGAGATCAGATCGCCTGTTACAATCTGATTTATCCCTTCCACAGCAGCAATCGTTGAGAAGGCCCAGCAACTCCCTTCATTTTAAAAAATTAATTGATTAATTTAGATGAAAAGAATTCGGAAAAGAGACGCAGAGTATATGAAAGCATTTGGGGCAAATAGAATATAAAAATACAGGACACTTTCCAATATCCTTTTTCAGGTTTTGAACAATAACATTTTTCAGAGTAGTGCAGGACAAACTGAAAAGCAGTACAAAATTATCATCCAGAATGATGTGACCTATTGTGGTTTAAAACATAAAGGCCATTACTATAAGCCATAACTAAAAACATGCCATTGTCACCTATTCAAGAAGAAAATACTACATAAAAAAATTTGGTTGTTAGCATATTCCAAAATTTTCTAAACTGAAAATTAGCAATGGTTAATAGCAGACAAGGTTAACACCATTCAAGCTCCAAAACTTCAAGAGATGGCCCAACCTTCTAACATGGACTCTTAAAACTAAATTAAATACTCGTGTCAGAGACACCCGACACATATGTAAGGGTGTAGAAGAATACGTCTCCGATACTTTCTATTGAACAGTTTTTATATTTTTGTATTTAACATTATCATTATATCTCTAGTTTTGTTAGAAAATGAGTAAAATGCATTTTTGACACCATATGTTGCATATAATATTATTTCATCTCATATAATATAGTAGATTAAAAATATAAAAAGATGACCCTTTTTATCAGGTCAGCATACTCTTAAATTTCAAATTTTAGGTTTGAAGAGGCTGTTACAAAGGTGCATTTTGTATCTCAACTAAATTGACAACATCACTGAATGCTACGAATTACAATTACATACAAGAAGGAAAATGAATGCCATTAAATAAACTCAAAACTATCAACAAGGAAAGAAATTTCACTGCATAAAGATTATATAGGTCTCTCTCACATGGTCCACCAACACCCAACTATCTCTATTATCCGAGATTGGTGTCCCATGCCAATTTAATCAACACCTTAGGGGTGTTTGTCTCATGGGATTGGACTTTATATCCAATAGATTTACTAGTCCATCATTTAGTTAGAAAAGTAAAGGTTAGACTAATAGTCAAATACACGTCATTTCCAGCCAAATAGTCCAGGGAAGGGACTATTTATCTCGCAACTAATGGTCCATTGCATTGCAATCCTCCCTAATCCAGCCCATCCAAACAAACACCCATCTATTCTAGTTTAATTAGGTAGAGAACCAAATCTCGTACCTCACCAAACTTGCTTCTGATTTTTTGCTACTAATATGGTTCATAACAAGTATGTTCATATTATGCCCCAAAAGGCTAGTCAAACCTCACCAACTTACCATAATTTTTGCTTATAATAGATCCGTAACAAGTACGTGTATGTGCAAAATGAAGGGGAACCCAATTATGCCCCCAAAAGGGTAGTCAGATTACATGATCAGGTTGTTTGTTTGATAAAAAAAAGAAATGTTAAGAAACACAAAAAAAATAAGATAATTTTACCTGAAAATGATGAAACAATCAAGGAAGTTTCTGCCCAAAAGGAATTACTTTACAGTAAAATATATCAATTGCGCATCAAATACAACAAAATTTTCCCAAAATTTTCAGCACAATAAGAGCAATTTTCCATCTAAGCAAACATAGAGCTAAAAAATACATAATTTTACTTGAAAGAGACAAAAAAACAAAAGTTTCTATCTAGCAGTAAAATATATCAATCTGGCATCAAATAAAACAAATTTTTAACAACAATTTTCTCCACAATGATAGCAATTTTCTATCTAAACAAACAGACTAGTTAATGAGGTCCTGGTCCCACGCACCCATACGAGTCTCCCGTTCCCATAACCATAAATTTATTTATCTGTATCATATGATGAGTCAAAATCAAACACATTATACATCTATGCAATACACACGAGAGACAGAGAGGACGAGCATAATATGATGTAGGGCCACGCTTCTCCCTAGTCCGAGAGCGTGCGGTGGCCTGATAATTGGAACCGTATAATATGTAAATATTGTTGAATACTTTATTTTATATAAAAAATTGCGTTGATCGGATATGATTAACTACTCAATCGAATCAGATTTCTGTCACCAATAAATATAATTTTCAAAATAAATTGTTAACAAAAATCTTATCCAATCAATCAAGTAAAGAGATATCATTAACTATTTAATGGGATTAGATTTCTGTCACCAATAAAAATAATTTTTAATCCACAAAGTGACGGAGGACTTACCGCACTGGCCTTGATCTTTAACAGAAACAACAGCTCCTTTCTTCGTCCAATCCACCGACTCCGGCAACTTATCGCCGGCCCGGAAAACGTAGCGATCGCTTGTCTTCGGACTCGACAACCGCCTCTTCGTCTCCATCCTCACACCCAGAAACATGGACCGGTACTCCTCGTTGCTCAGATTGGCGAACCGGTTCAACCCAACCCTGTAAGTCCGGTTCTCTGCAGCATTGTGCTCGTCGACGAACCTGAGATTGTCCTTGAAGATCTCGAACCGTCTCCCCTTCTCGCCGATCGCATTGCTGGCCTTACCGCCGTGGTGAACGAGCCACTTGTCGTAAATGGCCATGGCCTCAGCGTCGGTTCTGTTTTGATTGTGGGTTTGGTCGTAGGTTATGATTGACATGTCGAGTGCGGATGAGAGGACGAAGCAGAGGAAAAGGAAACAGGGTATGGAAGAAGATCTGAAGGATGCCATTGTTGATGATGGGTTTTTTTTTATATTCTTCTTTTTTTTTTTTTTTTCTGATCTGTGAGAGAGAGAATGGAAATTGAGGAAGAAGAAGAGGAGGTATATGACGGGAAAAATGTGAATATAATATATTTATATTTTATTTAATTTTATATATTTTTTCTTCTTTTTTTTTAAATTTTTTTTCTTAAATACTCTAATCAAACAGCATCAACGAAGAAGAGAGAGAGGAAAGAAGGAAGCTTATACCCGAAGGAAGAGCATAAAGGAAGAGGAGAAGGGAAAGAAAAGAGGAAGCTTAATCCCGCAGGAAGAGGAGTAGTTGTTTACTCTGCCACGACATGCTCCTCTAAAGTAGTGACCCTCTTTAGTGTGACTGTGGGGATCAGATTCTCTGTTCCAATCTCTTAACACTCCTTTGGATCATTGACCTGTTTGTTTAGGTCTTGGGAGTTTTTATTTATTTATTTATTAATATTCTAAAAAAAATATAATTTAGAAAATTCACTCATTTTTTAAACTAATCTGTTTTTTGAAATTACATTTTGAAAATGTGATTTTAAAATTGAAATTGTATTTTCAACATATAATTTCACATTGAAATCGCATGTTGATAATGCAATTTAAAAAAGTAAAGCCATGTCATTATAAATTACTAGGGTATGCCCGTGCCTGAAGGCACGGTGAAAATATTATTGGAATGAAAATGTAATTGAATATAAAATTAATACAATATGCCCGTGCCTGAAGGCACGGTGAAAATATTGTTGGAATGAAAATGTAATTGAATATAAAATTATTGGGTTAAAATGTAATTTATTCAATTTGTTAAAAAAAAATTTGAGGTGAAAATATAAATAGATGATCCGTATGGTTTTGGATTTTCAAATTAATTTTATAATTAGGTTTTTGAAAAGAGTTTGTCAAACTTAAAACTTTTGAAAAGAGTTTGTCAAACCTACAATTTTGTTTGGTTGTATATATTAAAAATAATTTTTACAAATTTAAAATTCAAAAATTACTTAGTTTTGGAGTTTCCAAAAATAGTTTTTAAATTTTTAGTGAACTTTTTAATATTTTAATCAAAATATTTTTCACTTTTAGATCCACTCAATTTAAATATTTTGCAAAATTATAAAATTTAGATAGGTGTAACTTAATAAAAAAAAATTAGACCCTCTTTGTCTGTAGTGCAAACTTAACGATAAACATATAAAAACTGTCCAATTGAATTTAACAATAAGTTTTGCTATAAATTTTTATTTTTAAATGGCAAAAAATGGTAGTGGTGAAGGCAATGTGATGGAAATTGCTACAATTTATCAAGAAAATGTGAAAATAGTGATGACACAATTATTACCTTAGCCAAGAAAACGTGAAAAATAGTGATGACACAAATGCAAACAAAGACCAGATCACAAGATATTTACTATTATAGTATTTTTGTTTATTTAACCCACTTGCAATTTGCAACAAAAAATAAGCACTTTATTACCTTGGCCAATAACAGTACCCAAATAAATTTCTATATCCACATTTTTTTAAATAGTGAGCTTTGGTTGAAATAAAGAACACTACAAGAAAAATCACTTTTGGCGACTAAATTTTTAGTCGCCGAAGTCCAAATTTTACCTTTCCCGACAAAATTTTTTAGTCGCCACATTTGTCGCGTATTTCTGGTCGGCGGAGGCATTGGCGACTAAACAAAACTTGTTTAGTCGCCAAAATACAGGTCTTTAGCGACCAATAATTTAGTCGCCCATAGTGTTTTACACTTTTGGAAATCAGGTCTTTAGCGACTAATAATTTAGTCGCCAATAGTCACTCAATCGCCGACTAAACGGTTTAGTCGCCAAAATAAAGAGTTTTGGCGACTAAATTTTTAGTCGCCAAAGGTGCTTCTGGGGAAAAAAAAAAAACCCACTTTTTTTTTGCTTTTCCTGAGTTTCGAACTCCAACCGTCCCACATTCCAAGCCTTTTTGCAACACACTCCCTCCACTATGCCACTACAACTTTACATGAATATGTATGCAATATATATTATTTATATAGTATATTTACCGGTATTAATACAAAATAATACATATAAATATAATTATTTTAATTCAATATAATTTATGTAAAAAATAAATTATTTACTAAAAAAAAATTTAGGCCACTTTTGACGACTAAAGTGAGTTTTAGTCAGCAAAACCCCTCCTTTTAGCTACTAATTTTTTTTAGTAGCCAAAAACATCTACTTTTGGCGACTAAAGTGAGTTTTAGTCGGCAAAACCCCTCATTTTAGCTACTAACTTTTTTTAGTAGCCAAAACATCCACTATTGGCGACTAAAGTGAGTTTTAGTCGGCAAAACCCCTCCTTTTAGCTGCTAACTTTTTTTTAGTAGCCAAAAACATCTACTTCTGGCGACTAAAGTGAGTTTTAGTTGGAAAAACCCCTCTTTTTAGCTACTAACTTTTTTTTAGTAGCCAAGAATCTCCACTTTTGGCGACTAAACTGAATTTTTGTCGCCAAAACCCCTACTTTTGGCTACGAAATTGATTGTAGTTGCCAATAATTATGTATTTGGCTACTAAACTGTTTTAGTCGCCAAAAGTGTTTCCATTTTAGTCGCCAATTGTCCTACTTTCAGCGACGATAATTCAATTTTTTAGTCGCGAAATCTGCTTTTTCTTGTAAGAGAGATCTCATGGCTATAGTTTTGCATCAATTTTAATCTAATGGTTGAAATCTACCAATTTGTATGGTTTGGTGGTCAGTTTACTATGCAGAAAATTAAATAAATGAAATAGTGAGAAGAAATAGTGAAAATTAAATAAATGAAATGGTAAATAAATCAATTTAAACATAATTTTGCAAATTTATAGGTAAACGAAATAGTGAAAAGTAAACACATAAATGCTACGTAAAATTTAAGCACGACAAAAGTATAAGATTTTTACCAAACAACAAAATGTAAGTCCCACAAACAGTACAAATTAGACGAAATACGCTAGCCAGTGCTTTGCAATAGAAAAAAAATAAACAAATTAAGCACACCAGCCAGTGCTCTGCAATACAAAGAAAAATGTCAAATAACAAATTAAGCACACCAGTCAATGTTCTGCAATACAAAGAAAATGCCAAACAACAAATATTAGGAAGCAAAAATTAATAATTGCAAGAAAAATTATTGACACATAATTAACAACCTCCTAACATATATTTTAGTTAACAACCTAATTTAAGAATGGAGAAATTGAACTACTACATGATAGAAGAAAAATTATAATTTTTTTATGTCTTCAATATACATTAAAAATGATAGAAGAAAAATTAAATACTCTCAGAAATGTTCATCACTTTTCTCGATTGGCCAAAATGTAGAACTATTGCAATACATGATTTTGTGATTGATTCTATATAGTAATTTTGCATTGACAATAGTTAATTCTTATGGACTGTATTGCTCACTTTTCCTACTAACAACTAATGTATACCATAAAAAATATAAAATAAACAGAGTAAATTATAAAAAAATATAAATTATACTACTTATGAATAAAATTTTAGCAAAACTTCAATATAGAAATTTAATTAATAATTTTGCATTTTAAAATGTGAAAAAAATAAATAAAAAACTACAATAAAAATTTATAAAAGGTCTCACCACGCTGTAACTGGATAATTACAAATATTTTTTGCCTTATCTATATAATTACAAATGCCTTTTTCAATACACATCATAAAAAATTATACTATACAGTAGCTTATTTACTCCGAGGAAAAAAAAAAAGGCAAAAAAACGAAGGAGTAATTTGTTTTCATTCTGTTTTTTTGAAAAAGTCCAAAAACAAAATTTAAAAAGCTAAATAAACTGGACTTTTTTAAGAGAGAGAGAGAAGCCTAAACATTTTAAAATAACAGTTCAATAAAAAAGCAAATTAAAAACAGTTCACAAAAAGCAAAAAAGAAAAAAGAAAAAAAAGGGTCATCATATAAAAAGGGTTTACTTTATAATGTTCCATTTTCTTTTCAATCAACAAATTCCCTTCAAATCTTAAATCCAAAAGCAGCCTAAAAGGGGAAAAAGATAACTGTCAGAAGGTAGAATGAGATTTAATAATTGCCATAAAGAAAAATTAATCGACACATAATTAACAACCTCCTAACATATTTTAGTTAACAACCTACTTTAGGAATGGGGAAATTGAACTCCTACAGGATAGAAGAAAAAATTATAATTTTTTTTGTCTTCAATATACATTAAAAAGGATAGAAGAAAAATTAAATACTGTCACAAAAATCTTCATCATTTTTCTCTTTTGGCCAAAATGTAGAACTATTGCAATAAATGATTTTGTGGTTGATTCTATATAGTAATTTTGCATTGACAATAGTAAATTGTTCTGGATTGTATTGCCCACTTTTCCTACTAACAACTAATGTATACCATAAAAAATATAAAATAAAAAGAGTAAATTATAAAAATATATATAAATTATACTACACAGTAGCTTATTTTACTCGAAGAAGTTAAAAAAAAAAAAAAAACGAAGGAGTAATTTGTTTTTTTGAAAAAGTCCAAAAACAAAATTTAAAAAGCTAAATAAACGAACTTTTTTATGAGAGAGAGAAGCCTAAACATTTTAAAATAGTAGTTTAATAAAAAACCAAATTAAAAACAGTTCACTAAAAAAAAAAAAAAAGGGTCATCATATAAAAAGGGTTTACTTTATAATGTTCCATTTTCCTTTCAATCAACAAATTCCATTCAAATCCTAAATCCAAATGCAGCCTAAGAGGGGGAAAAGATTACTGTATGAAGGTAGAATGAGGTTTAATAATTTTCATAAAGAAAAATTAATCGACACATAATTAACAACCTCCTAACATATTTTAGTTAACAACCTACTTTAGGAATGGGGAAATCGAACTCCTACAGGATAGAAGAAAAAATTATAATTTTTTTGTCTTCAATATACATTAAAAAGGATAGAAGAAAAATTAAATACTGTCACAGAAATCTTCATCATTTTTCTCTTTTGGCCAAAATGTAGAATTATTGCAATACATGATTTTGTGGTTGATTCTATATAGTAATTTTGCATTGACAATAGATAATTGTTCTGGATTGTATTGCCCACTTTTCTTACTAACAACTAATGTATACCATAAAAAATATAAAATAAAAAGAGTAAATTATAAAAAAATATATAAATTATACTACACAGTAGCTTATTTTACTCGAAGAAGTTAAAAAAAAAAAACGAAGGAGTAATTTGTTTTTTTGAAAAAGTCCAAAAACAAAATTTAAAAAGCTAAATAAACGGACTTTTTTATGAGAGAGAGAAGCCTAAACATTTTAAAATAGCAGTTTAATAA